GTAAAGGTCCCTCCCAGCAACCAGGGCCACACTCACCTGAGATCTGTCGGTCTCTGACTTTCCTCAGCTGACCCTTCCCACAGAGATTTTTGTTCCTCACCTTGCCTCACTTCACCTGGGCAGGTGAGCTTGGAAGTCAGGAAATCTCTCTCCTCCTCCTGCAGTACCCTGTAATTATTCTGTCTAGTTATTTAATCCCGCCTTACCCTGGGGGTACCTTCTACAGGCTGGCTGTCCTAAGAAACTCTACCTCAAAGAAACCAACGTCCTGTTGCAACAGCTGTGCCTGGACCACAGCCCAGCTGTGTCAGAGGGAACCCCTCCATTTCCTTCACACCTGTAGGAACCCATCCTCTCCCCACCATGTGTGGACAGCTCCTGACCAAGGGCATCTCCCCCTTTTCAATTATGGGATTGCTAGAACAACAGGCCACACCTCTGAATCCAGCCTGTGCCTGTGTCCCCACGGGGACCACAGGCCACCCTGGGAGGAAGGATGGGAAATCAGCACATCCTACACTGAGCCTTTGCCAGGAGATGGCATTAAACCCACAATGAGAGTTGATGGAGTCTTGGGCTCTTTGACGGGCTTGAGTCTGGGAAGTCCTGGCAGGCTGTGCATCCTGTACCCTGGCCTGGAGAGAATCACCTGGATGCTGGTGAGCCAGTTGTCTTCATTTGGCCAGGGTGGCGCATAACCACGGAGGCTATTTGTTGAGTGATTTCCTTCTCAACAGTCCTTCTGTGAGGCTATAGATGAGGGGGCAGAAGCTCAGGAGGCATTGGTTTCTTGCCAGAAGCTAGTAGGAGAGGGGCTCCACTTGCACCAGATTCTCACATAGACTTCTGCTGCCTCTGGGGCCTAGCCCACCTCTGGGATCCCACCACTTGGTGGGGTCCAATTGCCACCATTCCAGAATGGCTGAGCAGTTCCTGACCTTCTCTGAGTCAGTTCCTTTCTGAAAGACAGGTAAAACTGGACACCTGTGGTTCATGCTTGTAATCCTTGCTACTTGGGAGAATCACAGTTCAAGGCCAACCTAAGCAAATAGTTCAAGAGACCCTATCTCCAAAATAACCACAGCAAAATGGACTGGAAGTGTGGCTCAAATGTTAGAGTGCCTGCTTTGTGTGTTCAAACCCCAGTTCCACCAAAAAAATAAAAAATAAAAAAATAATGCCTGCTAGCCAGGTATAGTGGTACACATCTGTAATCGCAGAAACCCAGGAGGCATAGATAGGAATATCACAGTCTGAAGCCAGCTCCAGGCAGAAAAGGAAACCAACTATAAGGCCTTTCCTGAAAAATAACTAAACCAAAAAACAAAACAAAACAAAACATAGCTCAGGTATTAGAGTGCCTGCCTAACAAGCAGGAGGCCCCGAGTTCAAACCCCCAGTACTGCAAAAAAAAAAAAAAACCCAAAACACCCACTGCCTGGAGTTGTGGAAAAAGGCAGGGAAGCAGTACATGTAAAATGCACGTAGGGGTGGTGGGCAGGAGTGTGGCAGGAGCAAGGGGCATGTTGTGTCACTTGCAGTGTCCCCTGCAGAGTTTGATGAGAATCAGAAGCAGAAAAGAAGGGCTCCTCCAGCCTGCACTCTCCAACTCGCAGTCATTCTGACTTGCTCCAAAAATGCCATTAAATGTTTCTAAAGAGATTTATGTATAAGAAGGTGTCTTAGCCATGTGAACATGGAGGTGGAATAAGCCAGTCACAGAAGGACAAGTCCTGTGTGCTCCCATTTATGTGAGGTCCAGTTCATGGAGTCCGCGAGGGATTGTATCTAAATGTAAGCTTCAGTTTGTGAAGAAAAGTTCCAGAGATAGGTGGTGGTGATGTTTGACAACAGTGTGTACTTCATATTGCTAAGCTATACCCGTAAAACTAAGTAAAATGGTAAGCTTTGTGTGATGTGGATTTTCCTACAGTTGTTTGGCTATACTGAGCCTCACGTTTCCTAGATAGGCGCTCTATTATACTTTTTTGTTGTCATTGTTAATTCTGAGGGAAAACCAAATTTCTTAGCCTTGCCCATTTTTCTCGGGTTTCTGTGGAGGCTGAGGGAGGTCATTTCTATGTGGATTTGGATTGAGTACAGCTGAGAGACCTCTGAATTGGTGGCTCAAGGCAGTGTTTACTTTCAGCATGAAGTCAGCCTTGTAAAATCCCATGTGGCCCATGGAGCAGGTGAGAATGGACCCTCCTCGTGGGGCTGGAACAGTGCTTGTTTGAGCGGGAGATGAAGTAGTTCGTTGGTATTCTGAGCTTATGAATGTTAGGAGCCACGGGGAAGCCTGGCAAGATTCTCACACTATGAGACACCCTGGGAATCCAGGCCTGTGATGCAGCCACTCCTGTCCCCTGAACACCAGCAGGCAGGCTGGCAGGAATCACATCCCCTTGAAAGTGTGGTTTGTTTTCTCTTCTTTCCCATGTGCATCTAAGCTGAATGGGAAAGGGAGCCTTTGTCCAGAGGAAGGACATGTGTCTCATGTCAGCCATCTTTCCAGTTGGCTGTGATGGGTTTGAAAGCCCAACTTGATCTCTGACCTTAGGCTGCATTTATGGGCCTTAGAAAAACAGACCTTCTCCTCCCCACCCCGCCCTGTGACCTCTGCAAGCCGTGTCTCAATGCCTGGGTACACCTGAGGTTCTTCAACTTTAAGGATTTTTTTTTTTCAGACCAAAAATCCAGTTCCTGAGGCCAGAGTTCACACTTAAACCACAGGTTGGGTTCCTTACCTTTCCAAGAGACCCGTCTTCAGATAGCGGGGTACTCTAAGACAAGGCAGAGCCAAGCACAGAGGACTGAATTACATAAGGCAATGGTGAGGGTGGCACTGTGTGCGAGTAGGTCTGACCCTTGTCTCCTTCAGAAGAACTTAAAAGTCCGGTACCAGATACAGTTAGGGGCTCCACAAAGAAATGAATGACCAGCTGCCCTGTGGCAGCCCACCACCCTTAATTCAGTAATTCTTGGTGTTATTCTAAAGCAACAGAATTTCAGATTGGCAAGAAATTGAAGTTGTGATGCCCAAGGATTGAAAAGTAAACTATGAATTTGACTCCTGATTTCACCATTAAATACCTTGCTTTCTATCTAGATTTTTCTCATCTATGAAATCAGGGGAAAAATCTGGACAGAGAGAGAACTGAACGCTTCCTAGTGAAGCTGGCAATTTTTCCGCCCTGCAGTTCACTGTATTTCAAACCTGCCCAGGGAAGTGAGAACATTTGCATTAATTTGCATAACCACAGGGAGGGTCCCTCTGGAATCTCTTGGCTCATTTGGCTCCAAGCACCAGGTGGACCACGTAGCTGAGCAGGAAAACACGAAAATACTAAAACCATAACCACTTGCAAGCGCAGGCAGAGTAGATGGTGGGAGGAAATCAGAATCAGAGCAGGAGCAGCTGGCAACCTGTCTTCGTGACAAAGTGTTGCTAGTGGAATACAGTGAGCATGGTGAGATCCTGACTGACTCCCTCTCTACCAAGTCACTCAATTACAATCATGAAGTCAAGTGATGCATCCTGACTCGTAAATGCAGACCTGCATTGCTCTGCTGGTACCCAGGGAGCCTGGGAGGTGCCACAAACTTCAACCAACAGGCAGATGGATTTTGGAAAGTGCCAGTGCAAGGTCCTGTGATGAGTTATTATTGCCTCCTGCCTCAAAAGGAAACATTGAGACACTAAATACTAGAAGTCACCAAGCACCCCAAGCTTCATACTCCCTGCTCCTGCTCTACCCCCCTCTAAAAGGCAGAACTTAGTCCTTGGCTGTTTGCGTTCCACAATCCAACAGTCCTGACCCAGTTTGGCTGCCAGTGGGCTTTGCAAGTTGCCACAGGTTCTTTGCTGTACCTCTGCCTCCTCCTCCACCGCCTGTGGATGGTGATAATTTCACTCCACAGTGAAATTAGCAGTGAGGATTAGCTGCTGTATGTTAATATACCCAAAGAGCCAATAACTGTGCCTGGTTTGTACTAAAACAGTCAATAACTATTAGCTATTTTTATGTTTGTATCTTTTGAAACTCTATTAAGAAATATTTCAGACATTCTAAGATGTTCAAAGAATACTACAGAAAGACTGGGCATGGTGGCTCACTCCAATAATCCCATGCATTGCCTTATTTTTGCCTTTCATTTAAAGATTAGCATAGCAGGACCAGGCACAGTGGCTGGGATTCCATCTCTTCAGAGGCAGAGATTGGGAGGATTGCTGTTTGAGGACAGCCCAGCCATAAAGTTAACAAGCCCCCATCTCAGTCAATAAAACAGGGTGTGGTGGTGAACTCCTGTGATCCCAGCCACTCAGGAGGTATAGGTAGGAGAATCACAGTTCAAGGCCAGCCCCAGCAAAAAGCTCAAGACCTTATCCAAACAAGTAACTAAAGCAAAAAAGGGCTGGGGGGATGTCTCGAGTGGTACAGCACCCACCCAGCGAACGCAAAGTCTTGAGCTCAAACCCCAGTACTGCCAATAATAGTAATAATTAATAATAACACAGCAGTGTGCCATCCCCGTGGCATCTGATATGAGCATGGGCATTGCAGCTGAAGCCTGGTATACCCTCCCCTTCATATTCCTTCCTTCCCACCCGGGAACCATGCTCCTGAATTTGGTATTGGCCATCTTCATATGACTTTATACTCTCGCTCCACTGGAATGTATCTCTAAACAAGGGGAAAGAACTGGAAGGAGCTTTAAACTGGGACTGGCTGCACTTCTTTTAAAGAGCAGGACTTAGATGCTGTAACTAGCCTGACACAAGGCTACGTTGGGCAAGCACATCCTCATTTGTCACCTTGCTGTCTGGCTTTTCACCTGCCCTAGCTGGGAAGTGCTAGTGCGCCAGTCCGTGATTCCTGAGAAAGGTTAGGACTCCTACTGGGGGATCGGGGAGGGAGGACTCTGTGCTTGTCAGGGACCACAGGAGTGGCAGCCTCCACCAGCTCTCTGCTGACTGTCGCTCCCCTCCTCCCTTCCAGGCGGAGATGCGGCTGCAGGACCAGCAGCTGGCCAGGCAGCTCATGCGCCTGCGTGGTGACATCAACAAGCTGAAGATCGAGCAGACCTGCCGCCTACACAGGAGGATGCTCAACGATGCCACCTATGAGCTGGAAGAGCGGGATGAGCTGTCTGACCTCTTCTGCGACTCTCCTCTAGCCTCTTCCTTCAGCCTCTCCACACCGCTCAAGCTCATTGGTGTCACCAAGATGAACATCAACTCACGGAGGTTCTCTCTCTGCTGAGAAGCTAGGGAAGGGGCTGCAGCCCAGAGCCCAGGGTAGAGGAGGGAGCTGAGGCTGAGTTACCCAGTGGGTCGCCCTGAGGCAAGGCTTCTAGGACTGGTGCAAGGTTGCCTCAGGGGCCCCGGCTGTGGATCCCAGGGCCTCTGTGACAAGCTCTTGTTCAATACCCACAGAGTCTGCAGAAACTACACGAGACCTGTGTTTGCAGTAAGATCCACCTCAGCCCTCCCCTCTGTGACCCACATTCCCAGGTCCTGGAATCACTGGTGCTATGAACTGGGACCCCAAAGTGGGGGCCTCCAGAGCTTGCTATTCTCTCGGAAAGCTCTCCCCCAAGGGAACGGGGTGGGAGGGGATTAGGTGTTTAGGTGTACCCGTCTCCCACATCCTGCCTCCAATTCCCCCTAAGCAGGTCCTTGACAGGGACCCATGGGGACAGGAACACCAAAGGGAAAAAGAAGGTGGTGCACAGGAATGCAGGCTTCTTGGCGGCCACCTGTGCACGTTGGGAGCACTGTCCAGGCTGCTGTTAGACTTCAGCCTTGGCACTACAGGGCCATGTAAACAATCTCCAGAGTGTACCAGGACATGGGTGATGGGTGCCTAGTACTAGCATAACTTGGGTGGAGCACACCCAGACACCATGGTGCCTCCCCTGGCCACATGCTCCACTCACAATGGCCACAGAGCCCCTTGACTGCCACCTACAACCCAGGAAGCCCTGGTGACCGAACAAGGCAGGTGGAAAACAGATTTCCCATAATTGAATTCTTTGGGCAGGGGAGTGCAACAGAAATCTGATGGTGACATCTATGTCACCTTATGACCCTCCCCAGACAGACGATTTCTGAAGCCCAGAAGCCCATTCTGAGCCTCCCTGGAGACTGTGCCTGGCCTAAACAACTAAATGTAGTTGAATAAGACTGTTACTAATGTGTTGCTAACCTGTTAATTTTCTGATTCTTGTCCAAAGAAGGAATCCAGTTGAGTAGATCCAACACAGAGTTTGGGACTTGGCTTTGAGAGTTTCTTCCTACCAATAAGTATAAGATCAGCAAGATGTGAGCTCAGCAGGTCAGGGAAGTTACCTGGTCCAATACACCTGGCTACCTGCTGTAACCCTGACACCACAAGTTTCCTAGGCTTTTGACAGCATCTAGTGGAGACCGCTCATCAGTAACGGGCGACAGTGATGCCTGGGGAAGGAGATGACATCCCTCAGATTACACAGCTGTTTGGTGGCTATAGAATATTGAGGTGTGAACTCATTATGATTAATGCTGAGAAAGATCACATACCAATGAACTTGAACTCCAAAAATGGTCCTGTTGCCTTGCCAAACCCACAAGCTGCCGAGCTTGCTGTTCTGTCCAATCAGCCTCCATCTGATCTCCCATCTTGCAATCCAGAGTATTTGGGTAGGAGGAGCACAACAGCTGGACAATGGGCCCCCAACAGCATGTCACTCATCACCGTCCCACAGTCTAAGCTCACTGACTGCTCTGAATGTTCCATGTTTCTTCTCCCACAGAGACTTGGGGAAGGGCTGAGTTTGGGGGGCTGGGTGTTGGAAGATACAAATCAATGGCCCCCCGGAAGAGAATGTGGTCCTGTCTTTATGATTTCAAAGAGCTGGAGAGTTTACACTTCCTTCAAAGAACACAAAACATTGTGGCCAGGATTTGTTGTCAATCCTAAAGTCAGAGAACTCGTCCCTGAGGTCTCTCTTCAGAGCTCATACAATATTGCCAAGTCCCAAGGGACCCTCCTTTCTTGCCACCGTCCTCCAGACAGTCCTGGAAGTCAAAAGTCATCCCCAGGCTCACACACACACACACACAAAGGCCAGTCCTATATTCTAAAGAAAGACCAAACTGGTTTTGCTTTCTTTTTAGAACTCAGTCATTGCAGAAAATGAGAAGTTTGGATTGAAGGGAGGTAAAGCAGTTAGGTTGGATGTGGTCATGTGGTTGGCCTCCATGTGGCTGAGCAGTGTGTAGCTCAGTGGCCCAGCTTTTGTTCCTCCTGTGTTTGTTCTGTGGGAGGAAACAAAGGCATGTTTGGATAGGTTGGATGTCTCAGCTGTTTGGTTCAGTTTATCTCAAAAGGATTTTATTTTGGAATACAGAGGGGAGGGGGAATTGGAGAAGCAGAGGGGAAAAGGTAGTTTTGTTTTTCACATGCAGTCCAGTGTCTATTAGCTCCCTACCTTCCATAGTGAGCACAAACAACTGACTGGTTCATTCAGCTTTGTGAAGTCCCTGCTTTGTGTGGGTTCAGAGACGTCTGTGATCAGCAGCAAGGTTGGCCAAACCTCCTTTGCTTGCTTTCTGGCTTCCCATGTGTATACAGAACTGTTTTCAGTTTCATTCGTTAGCCATGTGTGTGCCCTTCCAGAGGATGTAAACCACGAAGTCTCCACTGTGCTGTCACACGTGGTCCTGTCCCATGACTTCATGGGCTTACTAGCAATCACAGAAGCCTGGAGGGCCTGGGTGGGCTTGACTGTGACCTCGCCTTGCCCAAGACCTACCCCTGTAGCAATATCAAGTGCTATTACATAATCAATGGACAATTTACAACTTTATTTTTTATGATTATTTGTTTCTATATTGCTGTTAGAAAAAGTGAAATAAAAATATTTCGAAAGAAGATATCCACAGAAAGAGAGACATTTACTTCCTTTTAGCTTGTCCCTGTTATAGGACACACAGGGCCAACCCCTAACTGAAAGAACGGATGGGTGGATGGATGGATGGATGGATGGATGGACAGATGGATGGATGGATGATTTCAGCAACCAGATGAAGATAGGGGAGGGAGGAAATGATTAGCCAGGGTCCCTCTTCTTTATTAACCCTGCCTTCCTCCAAGGAGGGCTGCCTGGTGGTGGTTACCATCACCTGTACTGACGTGCTGTGTGAGCTCGCCTCGTGTCACTGAACAGTTACTCTTGCATTTGACCAAACCCAGAGCAAACAAAATCCATTCTTTCCTTGAGCACCATCCCATGGTGATAATACTAGCTTGCTCTGAGGAAGACTTGTACCTCAAATTTTTCAGCCACTTCCAGCACCTCTTTATCCTGAAGAAACAGTGCATGACGATTTCACTCGGCGAGCACTGCCACAAACACATGTTCCCAGGAAAATAGATTCTGGCCACATGGCTCCAGAGCAGACCTGGGAATCTGTTACTAACACATGCTCCAGGCGATGGTGAGGTGGCCCAGAGACCACTTTGGGAAATCTGTAGCGTACACAACAGGCCAGGGGAGGGATGGCCTTGAACTGATCCTGTCTTAGGATCTCAAGAGACCATCCCAGAGGTTAAGGTGGGTGAATTATCACATTTTATGGCCCAAAGACCAGCTTTCTAGTGATGCCCTGGAGCAGACGTGACCAGGGTCTCTGTCCTTAAACAAGGTGGTCACAAAGCCACCTTTGATGAAAGCAAACATGGCCTCCACACAAAAGCAGAGGTAAGATGAGGTGACATCCTTGTGTGGAGGGGCTGCTTGTGCCAGGCAAAATTTCTGTGTGCACTTCTCAGAGAAGGTGCTGTCCCAGCTGAGCCACAGCCACTCAAAGACCAGGGGAAGTGTTCCAGACAAAAGACAGGACAGGACACAGTCTGAGGGAGGAGTGATCTGTGGGGAGGCCAGCACAGCCAGTGGACTGCAAAGACTGCCGGTGGCTCTCTCCAGTCTCAAAGACCAGTGACGGAGTTTGGGTTTTGTCTGGGTTGGCAAGAAGTGTTCTGAGTGGTTATGATCTGATTTAAATCTTAGCCATATCTAAGTTGAAAGTAGAGGGGAGGCAGGGCCAAAGTGGAGCCCAGAAGAAAAAATAGGTGGCTGTGATAGTCGACACTAGCTTGACCTGGACAGGGCAGCAGCTGTGGAGATTGACAAGGGTGCAATTGGAAGTTTACTTAAGGACATACTCTGGGATGTACTTGGAGATCAAGCCAACAGGACACACTGAGCACTTAGACCTTGAATTAAGGAAATTGAGGAATTATGGCTACCCTTTGGCCCCAGCTGAGGGGCAGGAGGACATTTACTGAGAATGAGTGGGCATCGGGACACCAGTGGCTCTGCTTCATGTCATGTTTAAATGTCAATTAGACATCCACGTGGGGGAGTGCCTAGGGTTCAGGGAGAAGGCCAACACTGGAGAAATAAGTTTGGGGTTTGGGATCTAGATGTTGAGTAATAACAGAAAGTACTCCATCTGGCTGAACTCCTCTGGGAAGGGGCAGGGATGAAGAACAGAAGAGGGGTAAATAAAGCATCCTGGGGACCTCAACATCATTTATATTGAGTATTGACAAATTGTACTTATGGGTTACAAAGTGATGCTATGATATATGACTATGATGCAGAATGATTGACTTCAGCTAATTAACATGGCCACCACCTCATACTTGTCATTTCTCCCCCTAACTGGGACTCTGTACCCTGTGTCAGCTTCTCCCTACTGCAGACCCTGGTGAGCTCCAGTCTGCTGGCCTCTTCTAAAAGTTTGATTTTTTAAAGATTTCACACATAAGCGAGAACATGCAGTCAGAAGATCGGACAGAGAAAGAGGAAGAGTCAGAGGAGACACAGGGGCAGCTAGGAAGGTGGAAGGAAAACCCAGGGAATGGGCATCAGAGAACCTTCCAGAACAAAATATTGCAAGGAGAGAGCCACCCACATCAAAGGTGAGACGAGAGCAGAGAAGTGGTCATTGGCTTCATGGTCTTGGTGGCAGCCACACAGAACGTGGTGAGGACAAAGTTCAAGTGCACATCAAGAGAAAACAGGAGGCGAAGAGAGAAGTGCTGGCAGCGGATAGAGGCCATTTTACTTCACTGTAAAGGAAGCAGTGAGCCAATGACACAATGCAAAGGTGACAGATTTGGGTTTTCTCATAACAAGGTATAAGGAAGGCCTTGGATCTTAAGGTATACCGATGGGAACAACCCTGCAGGAAGGGAGAGACTGATGGCGTATG